TAATTTTCTTCCTCCTTTGTTTATACACTTTCACCCCCCTCTTGTTGTTGCCATTTTCCTCTTGTCCCATCTACCCCTAACTGTAGCTACAACTAAATAATGATCCGATATATCAGTTGCCCCTCTATAAACATGTACATCCGGAGCCGACCCATCAACCTTTTATCCACCAATAACATAATCTATACAAACTACTTTCATTACGTGTTAATATAGGCTTGTATTTTATTTATTATAAATTTTTCATAAAATATTATTATTTATTACAAACCACTTTTCTACCACAATTGTTTCAATTTAAAAGGTTTCTATTTTATTTACCCCTGGTACGCAATTGATGTACTAACTCCTACACATTTTTATGTCGTTGAGAATAGTATAACATTTTATGCAATATTTTGCTTCAATAGCACTACACACAGGGTGTAATATATATTGTAAATTATTCCTTGGTTTGTACTTTGCTACTTTCCTTCTTGGTTAGCTGCGCTTGACTGAACTTACCTTCTTCAGTATGTCGCTCTGAATATACATAACTATTTAGTATGATCCCTAGATATATCTTCCTCAATGGGAGCATACACCACATAATATTATCTGACCAAATATGCTCCAAGTAGTGCCATAAATATACGCTTATCTCGCGCCCCATAGCCCTGTATCTGGTATTGATTCGATAACCGTGCTCGCCTATTCCTAGTCTTGGGAATCGAGTCTCAGCTCCTGGCCCTGCCACTTTCAAGTTAACTTTCTACATGCATCGTGAGTTCTATTATACCTATTCTTAAAGTTGTGTATGGGATATTCATTTACAACTTCTTTATCCCGGTCATTTCACTTTCTTATCCCCAGAAGGTAAACAAAAATTTCCAGGTTTTCTAGCGAGTTATTACGTCCTTAATTTCCAATCATGTCACAGTAATCCAGTTTCCCTTCTCTCAAACTGTCTTTCCCTTTCCTGTGTGTCTGTCTGTGTGTGCACCTGTGTTTATGCGCGTGTTTTTTTTGTTTGTTTTTGTAAAAGACGAAAGTAGGTGTACCTTCACCTAAATGTCGAGACGTCTGATGTGAGAGGGAATAGTGTTGTAAGTATATAAGGCGGGTACGGAGACCCCTCTGAACACTTCTCCCTTCACAGCGTCACCATGATAGTCAGGGTAAAGCACTGCACTCGCCTCTGGGCTTAATCTTTAAATAAAACTTTTATTTGTGCTACGGCAACAAACATCTAATGACGTATGTATACATTAAGCATTCTAGTTTATGTAGCGCTACTCTAATTTTTTTTCCAGACGTTGGCGTTGGCCTTAGTGGCTGTGGTGGTGAGTGCAAGAATTGAAAATCTTTCCTCAACAGGGAGTTTAAGTGCGTCCCAAAGACAAGCCCTCTCCCAGTCACTGCTCCAAAGTCATTCTCCTCCAGCAGGGACTGCTCCAGGAGGCTTTGGACCAGGTTCAAGTCAGCTGTCCTTCCAGCAATCTCAGCAGATTGACTCTCCTCCACCAGGGGCTGCTCCAGGAGGCTTTGGACCAGGTTCAAGTCAGTTGCCCTTCCAGCCATCTCAGCTGATTGACTCTCCTCCAGGAGGGAGTGCTCCAGCAGGTTCTGGAGCAGGTTCAAGTCAGTTGCCCTTCCAGCCTCCTGAACGACCTGGCCACTCTGGTGCTGGTGCTAGCCAGGATCTTTTCCAGCAGCCACAACATGATACTGGGTTTCCCATCCAAATCCTGCCTGATCCATCCGAGGATGTTATCCCTATCCTGGTCGACGAGCGCGAGGGACCTTACCCAGATGGCTCGTACAGATTTACTTTCGAAACTGGCAACGGTATCAGTCGCTACGAGCAAGGTATCCCCCAGAGTGATACTGGCGCCGTAGATATGCGAGGCGGATGGTCGTGAGTATCCCTCTTTCATGTCTATAATAATATCTTTATTTCTACAAGTACATGTACAAGGTATACAGGTCTAGTTGACATCAAGGACATACTACTATAAAGAAAACCCTTTATTATGCGAAGCATTTCGAGCAAATTAGGTCAATTTTGTACCCAGGATGCAACTCACATCAGTCTACTAACACTCAGGTACCTATATACTACTAGGTTAACAGGGACAGCAGGTGTCTTAAGGAAGCACGTCCTAATATTTCCATCCATACAGGGGATCAAACCACGGACCTCTATGTGTGTGAGCTAAGTGCACTAGCAATCGACCTACGGGACACGTACACACCTTCGTGGTTGGCGAAAATCTTAACACGGCTGTAAACATCACGGGAAAACGACCAGGAATCCACCTGCTAAGCCGTGTTCAATGGGGTCGCCGCAGCGCCTCCCTCATCTACTATAACGACGCTCACAGGCTCCAGCAAAATTCTATCTAAAATATTCAAAGAGAAGTTCCAAGCGAACATTCTGACTCTTGTTTATTGTAGATAAGATTATAGCATTACGAACTGGGTCTCCAGTCACTTTATCTAGGTGTCCCTTGAATGTTAAGTTCCTATCATGGTCTTAATCATAAAGAGGTGGACCGGTAAGCCAGCGGAAGGCCTCGGTCAGATGACCAAAATTGCGAGCCAGGAAACACTTGTTCTGTTTCCTGATAAACCTTACCTAACCTAACATTGCATGTTCACATCTTGATATGAGTGGACATGAGCGGACATGAGCGCAATTTGCATGTCTATTTTTCAGACTTCTTTACTCAATTCCTTTGGAGGCGCTAAACCCGCAATGATCACAATGAGCCTGTGACAATGGTATGTAAATAGGAAGGTTGCTCCAATTCTTCGGATCAAGAACCCTTCACTAGAATACTTCCTCTACAGATTTTTATCATTTCTTTTATTTGTCCACACCTTTATAGTTAATTGCTTCAGTTCGCTTTTTAAGTATCGTATTTTTTAAGTATCGCATTTTTTAAGTATCGTATTTTTAAGTATCGTATTTTTAAGTATCGCATTTTTAAGTGTCGTATTTTTTAAATATCGTATTTTAAGTATCGTATTTTTAAAGCATATTATTTTTTATGAATCGTTTTTTTTTACGTCATCGTGTTTTTAAAGTATCATATTTTTAAGTATCGTACTTTTTAAGTATCATATTTTTTAAGTATCGTACTTTTTAAGTATCATATTTTTCCTAATTCTTTCGAAGCTTTTCTTACTTTTTAAAAATATAATAGAATAATTAAGAATGTATAATGAACTGGCATATTTAATTATAAGTAATACAATAATATTTCCCTTTGCATATTCAGTATATTTTTATTTATTTGTTTGAAATATATTTACAGAATAAATTCAGTCATTAACTGTTGAGAAAAAAAAATTATTTTAGATGTTTGATATCTGATCACCTGCCTTTAATAGCTAAATTTTAAATAAGGTTTTGAAGTGGTGGCTGTCTGATAAACATTTAGTTAGTGTAGAGGAGAATATGTTTATGGAGCGTCTGGTCTAGTACGAGAGTGTATATCTAACTTGTCTGGTGTTAAATATTTCCTGCTGTGAGGGCTGGGTGAGACTTGTCTTCTTGCTCTTCCCTTCTCTCCCTCTTCTGTTATTTTCTGTTGCTTGTTTCTACGTAGTGACCCTTTGCTCTTCACTACCTATCGTTCTATTCTGTTTTCTTTTCTTCTTCCATGTTGTCTTTCCCCTGCTTGCTGTCTTCTCAGTCGTGCTTCCTCTTACTCCGTACTACATTTTTAGCCAAGTTGCCTTCCATGTTCTTCCTTTTATTCTTACCTAATCTTCCATATTTCTTCATTTTGCCTCTTCATTCGTACTACCTCCCTTATCCTACCTCTTCCCACTTCTCTTACGCCTTCTCCACCTCATCTCTTCGCATCAACATGTTTGCTGGACTTGTTCTCGCGTTGTGTCAATCTGCAGTATTTTACTTTCTTTCTTTTCGACCCCTTTTTTATTTAGTTTTTTTTTACCCTGAGCATCAGGCGGGGATGCTGATGCTGTTGGCATCGTCTTTAATTGGATCTTAATGGTGTACTACCACAACAATGAAGATAAGATACATGTTGCCGAGCAAGTTTTTATCGTGCCAGTGTTGTGCTGTGTGTGGCGATAAATCAAATCATGATTTGATAAAGCTCTACGCAGAGCTAACTGTTGTCCTAATGAACTCTTATTCTGCAGTGTCTCTCTCCTTCAGCGTCGTCGTCAGTCAGCAGGTATAGCCTGGATTGCAGAATTCTGGAAATCTTGTTATCGTATTTTCTGGCATATAAGGCGCACGAGCATATATGATAATGTTTCTAAGCAGTTGTAATGTAAAGTTAGTAAACAGCTGATAAAGCATAACCCAAAGCTTTCCCTTGGCCCTGATCTGGAGCATATAAGGCGCAGGCTGATTTTCGAAGCGGTCATCGTCCCCTTAAAATCACTTTATTCTTGAAACTGGAAGTCCTTCGTCCCCTTAAGGGACTTGTCCCACCATTCTACGCAATAGGGAGCCAGAAAAAGACCGCCCAAAGCTCATTTTTGTTCACCTTCTCCTCAGATTCACTTTCCCCGACGACACCCGCCATCTTCAGCTTCGGGGGCCGACGCCCACAGGATACCGCGCGGTATCTGACTGGCTACCGACGCCTCATCCTTTCCCAGCCCACGCCATCGCTCAGATCGAGTTCGCCCGCCAGCAGGAAGCTGAAGCCGCTGCTGCAGAAGGAAGGCAATAAGGTCTTCAGAGTCTCCTACATCCTTGAGCTTGGCCTGCCATGAAGGTGGTTGCTTACTACCGCGGGAAAAGTATAGACCTTGCGCTGAGGACTCTGCTTCCTTTAGCAATGTTGGCTGTGGAGAGGTCCTTGAATCTCTCAACTGTCCTCCTGGTGTTGTGCTTAGGGACGACTCCTTGACCCCTAGTTTTGGGCCGAGTTTGATGCTTCAAAAATATCATAATTTTTAAATTTTCTGTTTTATTTTTTATTTTTCAACTACCAAATAAAGCCAGTTATCATAAAATATCACTTTTTTATTTATTCTGCCAAAATTTTTGGGGGAAAATGTGGTCAAACTAGCACAGCTTTCCGGTCTACTCCATAGTTCCCAAACTTAAACTCCTATTTCGGTCTTTTAGGGTCAATCAACACTTGGATCGGACACGGTCCCTTTAAGAAAAGAAAAACCAGGCATATATATTACCCGCAAACAGTTTCATTACCTCGTCTTCGTTTTGATTGCACATAAATTACCAATTCAAAAATGATAGAAACAATGGGTAAGAATATTAAATTTCTCTTAGCCGGATTCACGACAGAGAAAAATTGACAAAACAAAAACTTCAGCTCAGTAATATTCCAACTAATGACGGAAGATTTGGCGATAATCCCGACAATATCTTCGTCTTGAGGATAAGAGAACTTTGCTTCGAGGACTCTTCTCCTCTCAGTGATTCCACAGCCTGGGACGAGTAACTAGTTGTGTTAGTACAGTAATGTCTGTTTTCACTGCATATGCTTGGTTTTTATTTGTGTAAGTGGGTATGTGTGTATTCATATAAAATATATATTATAATATATATATATATATATTTTATTATATATATATATATATATATATTATATATATATATATAAAATGTCGTCCCGTAAAACTTGTCAGTTAGCAAGAACTCATTTAAAATTAAGTCCTTTCTAAAGTTTTCTCTTATACGTTTAAAGATATTTTTTTTCATTTATGTTAATGCAAAAATTAGTAATTTTGTACCAAAAGAACCTTAGAAAGCTTACCTAACCTTATTATAACGAGACCAATTTAATTTAGCCTAATCCAACTAATTATATTTTAGATAAGGTTACAATAATTTAATAATAAACAAACACAAAGAAATATATTTTTTTTCGTTAGGTTCAAAATGATTGTAAAATTATTGCATACACAAATTTTTGCATGGCTTACTCGGCAAGAAGAGCATTGCTATTTAAGCCAAAATCGGAAATTTTACCTATTCGGGAAGCAGGTGGTGTGGGACTATACATGTGCATGTACCTTGACTGATACCTATCTCCAATACACCAGGGAGGAAGGAGGGGCAGCTGCCAGCTTCAGGGAGTCCCAAAAGTTTAGAAAATATGGAGAACTTGCCCGTCATTATATGTTTGTTCCCATAGGCTCAGAGACCCTTGGCTCATGGGGAAAGAATACATCTAAATTCCTTAAGGAGCTGGGAAAAAGACTCATCAGGGTTACTAGGGATCCCAGGGCAGCTAGTTTTCTGTTCCAGCGGCTCAGTGCGACTGTTTTAAAGGGGGAATGCCTCCTGTATTTGGGCACACGCCCCAGCTCTGAGGCTGGATGAGATTTTCGCCTTATAATCGGTGATACACACGTAAATATGTACCGTATATGCCACCTTTATATCAACAATGTATCTCTTAAATCTTTTTAACCATATTATGTAATAAAATATTCCCATATATTTTTATATTTTATATAATTATATATATATATATATATATATATATATATTATAATATTATATATATATATTTCAATATAATATAGGGAAGTACCACCTCTATAGCTGGAATGGGGACCCCCATCCTCAAAAGAAGACAATAAACGTACCTCAGGAAAACTCAAGGTTCTCCCGGCTGTTTGAATATTTTCTTCTCCCCCACCCCCTATATTTATATTCTATGTGAACATTTATTAATAAACAAAATAAAATTTACAGAAAAAAACATGAACATGAATACAATGGCACAATGTATCAAAGATGATGAATTTCCTCCAGCTCCTCCGGGTGGACGTGAACCAAGTATGCAGCAAGCATTTCTCCTCTGGATGGCGACGCTGAGGCGCTGGAACATGAAAGTGGCTGCCCTGGGGTCCCTGGTGGTGTCGATGAGTCTGGAACCCAATTCTTTAAGGAAACGTGTGGCATTTTTTCCCCATGATCCCAAGGTCTCTGATCCCACTGGGAAAAAATTGATACTGTTGGCTAATGTCCCTGTACTTGCTGATTTGTACTCCTCCCTGTGGTCAGCAGCTCCTCCTGTCGCCCCACACTGTGATGGATATAGGTTTCAGCCATGTGGACACACAGGTATAGTCCCATGCTAAGAGCTTGCCTTTCTTCAAGGATAGATGTGATCCCGTCGGGCGGTTTGCTGGGTTGTGGGTATTGTTTGCTGCAAGTGATCGTGGCTCCTCTCGGCAGGGCATCCAGCTGTAGCAAGGGTTCTCTTAATGATGTCGTTGACCCCCATTGTGTCTTGCATGCCAGCCCTTGGTTTTGGAACAGTTAAGACCATGTAGACCGTATTGGTCTGCTTGCACTTCGCCGCAAATACACATATATTCTGTGTAAAATTGGGGCAGCAAGGCCCCAGAGCCACTGCAATACGGAGGGCCCTTAGGGTCGAGTCGCGTTCCCATTGCCGAATGGGAACTGTTTGGAGGAAGTCCCCGGAGTGAGGTGCACTCACAGCCTGGAGACGGCAATCTCCCTATCTGATGTTGCGGGGCCCTGAGCATGTTGGCAAGCACCTTTTCAGAAATTTGGGGGCTATCCCAGCTTGACTTTTTGTGAGCCAGTGCTGCACTAGGGTTTGTGCGGGAGCAGCAAGAGTCTCCCATTCGGTGATGGCACGGACATAGCTAGGGTCTTCTATTCCTGCTGAGTCACTGAGGGTGTCAGGAAGAATTTGTCTTATAAAACTCGTTTGATGCAATGGAAGAGGATAGGAAGCTGGTAGAGCAATCTGGGAGGCTCTGCGTACTCCTAGCCCCCCAAAGGGCCTGACCGGAAGTGAGGCTTGAAAACCACTGTCCATCGTAAAGGGAAAGATTCAGTACACTCTCTAGCATGGCCTTCAGGGGGAGTCTAATTCCTTGAGTTTTGGACTGCTGAAGGCTGGGGAGCATCTCAGAAAATAGGTAATTTTGGGGTTGACAGGCACCTGGTGAGTAGGTAGAAGGCATCGTGTGTGTCAATGTCTTTCATTCCTGCTTCCATCGTCCGGAGGTCTGAGACTTTTTTTCCTAGGATCAGATCGATGGCATTGGACCCAAGAGGAGCACCGAGGAGAGTGCTATTGGCTGGATCAGGGCTCGTGCTCCTGGTAAAACGGTACTAATATTCTGGATCAACTGTTGATTGGTAGAAACTATTTCACATTTGGTGGGGTTTTAAAGAGAGTCCCAGGCTTTTTCTCCCATGTCTTTTAATTTTATGATGTCCTCCAGGAGAGATTCTGTTGTCCCAGCTAGGGTACCGTCGTCCAGGAACCAGATATTGAGCTCGCTGGAGAGTGCCTCCGTGACTTCCTTGATGCCCAAAACAAAATAGAAAGGGGGCGAGAGGGTCCCCCTGTTTGCACGCCCTCACACGAGTCAATTTCATGGCCCCCAAACAATAGTTTGGAAGTCACACTATAACACGTTCTATAAAGGGGATAAAGGGAAGGGAAGTTTCTATAAACTGCTTGGAGAGCAGCATCCCTTCTGACGGGAGTTGAAAGCATTGGCAAAGTCCAATTTGACCAAGGCTTTTTCATATATATATATATATATCATATATATATATTATATATATATATATATATATATTAAAATATATATATATAAAAATATAGGGAGGTACCACCTCTAGAACTGTAATTTGGGGACCCTCATCCTCAGAGAAAAGAATAAACTTGCTCGGGGAAAACTCAAGGTTCTCCTGAAGCGGTTGAAAATTTTTCACCTACCACCCCCTATATTTTATGTATTTTTTTAATTTAAAGACAAATACATTGACAAAACATTCACAAAAATACGATAAAAGTAAACAACGTAGGTGGACTCAGAGCTACATCTCGAATACTTCGTCAGCTCCCCGGCGGGGGGCCCGCGTGCCCAGAATGCTGCAGGCTTTTCCCTCTCTGGGTTGCAACACTGAGTCTCTGAAAGAGGAAGCTGGTCGCCCTGTGGCCCTTGGTTTCTATGATGAGCTTTTCACCCAGCTCTATTAGGAAAACTTTAAAGGCACACTTGTCCCATGCCCCAAAGGGGTCTCCGACCCTATTGGGATGAAGTTATAGCAAGGGGGAAGGTCTTCATATTTGCGGTCTTCTGGTCTCCCGTGGCTGGCAGCTCCATCCCCCTTCCACTACGGAGTATGGCAAGTAGGTGTCTCCCAAATGTGGGGGCACATGTGTAGTCCCAGGCAATCTGCTTTCCATCCTTCCAAGGTAGCATAGTGGCTCCATCGGGACGCTTTTGACTTCCGTCAGACCTCGCACTTGGGGTTCCCGTTGAGCTGGGCAATGGGCTGTGGCGAGGCTTCTCTTTATGATGCCCATTGACCCCCTCATGCCTGGCATACTTCCCTTCTGCTGTGGACACACGAGACCATGAAGTCCGAATTGATCAACTGTCGCCCTGCCGCAATGCACCTATGTTCGGGGGAGGATGGGGGCGGCTAGGCAAAGAGCAACACCAATCCAAATGGCCTGTGGGCTTGTCGATGCCAAGGAGGAATTGGGAACAGCTAACAGGAAATCTCCTGAGTGTGGTGCCTTCACTGCCAGGAGACGAGCTTTGTCCTTTCCTGAGGCATTGGAGACCCTTGTGTTGGCGATTTTTTCCCTGACGGTTTGTGTATCGTTTGTCCCAGTGGGACTGTTTGTGTTCTTTGGGGGGGAGCTGGTCTACTGGAGGAATCTGTAAGGGTGTCCCACCGAATCGCTGCTTCATAAACCTGGGGTCTTGAGCTCCTACCACTCTCTCAAGCGTTCGGGAACAATCTTCTTGACTAATGCACTGGAAGCCAAACACGAAGACAGAAAAACAGGTAAAGCAACATGCGTTGCTTTGCGCACCCCTATACCTCCCAGTCGCACTGGGAGGGTTGCCTGATCCCATGCTGATCCTCTAGTGACAGGTTCAGTGCCTTCTTAAGGGGTTTACCTCAGGTGTGCGTCATATTCGTCGAGTGTTGGGTTGTCAAAAGAGGGTGCACCCCCTCAGGAAGTGAGTCTTTGGGAAAAGTAAGGCACCTTGTGAGGAGATACAGAGCATCATGGGGATCAAGATTGCTTATTCTCTCCTCCATTCTCATCAGGTCATTCAATTTGTCCTTGAGGACTGTGTCGATGGCCCGGGGACCCCGCGGTGCTCCCAGGAGGGTACTGTTGGACTGAGTGGTAGTAGGACTTCTGGAGGATTCTTCGCACAGCATTGATTTTTTCCTGGTTCTCTGTGATGATTTCACACTTGGAGGGATTGAGGATGAGTACCAAGTCTTCTCCCTGTGTTTTCACCATTGTAGGTCCCCTACGAAAGGGCTCTTCAGTACCTGCCAGAGTGCCATATCCAGGTACCAGATGTTTTAGCTCGCGCATAGGCTGGAAGTTAGTTCTCTTAAATGCCAAGCAGAAAGAGAAGCAGAGCTAGTGGGTCACCCTGCTGAACACCTTCTGATGTTTGA